AAAAAAAAAAAAAAAAAAAGAATTTCCATATGGAGTTTGCTTTCATTTGTGGCAAAGTCAGCCACTGGACAAGAAACTGCCCCTGCCTCAACTGCTGACAGTTGCTGTCCAAACTGGACACGCAGTACACAAAAGAAGCCGACGGCCAAACTTTGCCAAGACAAGGTAGGACAGTCCTTCAACATTCCTGCTTCACAGAAAAGTCTGTCAGATATTCTAGGCCCGTAGGCTGAAGATGGATGCCCCAGCATTACAGAGAAACCTTGGGATGACTGCCAGACAGCCAGATTTCTCTGTCATTTCTTAGTTTTAGAAGTTGCTTGCTCTGCACTTCCTGTTTACTCAGGTAGTATTATATCCTTCTAGGGTCTCTGATGTGATTGAAGATTAAATAATTATAGTTACAGTTTTCCTTACTTATAACAGGAAGAAAATTAAGTACAAAACTTTGGACTCATCAAAATGAGATAGATGGTAGAGTGATTACTCCAATTTTTACAAATACAGATGGACTTGACATTGTGAATGTAATTCTTAGTTGATAATTGTTCATATTGTATATGATTTTACTGTATTAAAGTCTTTCCTTTTTACTTAGACAAAAAGGGGGAAATGTTGTGGAATATTTGTACACTGTGAAAATATATTGCTGTGATTGATGTAATAAAAAGCTGGTCAATAGCTAGACAGGAGCTACAGGCAGGACTTCCAGGGACAGAGAGGGCTCTGGGAAAAAGAAAGGTTGGAGTCACCAGCTGGGTGTGGAGGAAGCAGCATGGGCAGTATGGAGAGATTAGGTAACAAGCACACAACAAAATAGGTTAAAATAGATGGGTAAAGTTAGGAGCTAGTGGGACAAGCCTAAGTCAAGGCCAAGCTTTCATAATTAAGAATAAGTTTCTATGTCATTATTTGTGAACTGACAGTCCCAAGGAGAAAGGACTGCTACAACTCCCAGGAAAATCTATTTCATCTGAAACCCGTCTCTTTCTTGAGCACAAGGGAGTGCGCACACACACACACACACACACACACACACACACACACACAAAGAAAGAATAACTCACTAGCTGAAATAACAAAACAATTGTCACACACCAGTCTTTACATCATCCAGACACAGTCAGAAGAGATGGATGAAACAAATTCTCCCTCTAGGGATGTACTTTTTCATCAAATCACCAACAGCACAAAAACCACTTGCCCTACACTCTAGGCCAAATACCCAAAGGAAAAAAAAAAAAACATTCTGATCCCATCCTCCCTGGGAAAGACATGCCATTGAAGGAATATTTCCAGTATTCTCACATATTCATGTTCAAGAAAAAGTGACACAATTAACTAGGTGGTGCTAGGCATGGTGGAATAAACCTGTCATCCCAGCACTCCCGGCGTGGAAGCAGGAAAATGAAGAGTGTGAGCCAGCCTAGGCTATGAGACTCTGTCTCAGGAAAGTGATAGACAGGATGATGCACGTGGATGTCTACGCTGAAGAGTCAGGCTGGGTCAGAAACTGTTGGATGTGAATGCCACTGGGGCCACTAATGTCGGTGGCAATGGGCAAGGTGTTTAATTTCTCCAGCGTGGCGGGTGATGTTGTATTTGCTTTCACCTTGTGTGTTTTTGACATTGAGCTGAGGTGAAATTTAAATAGATATGTTGATGCAAAATTCCTATTTTGTCACAAGCTCTCAAAAATATAACATATGATGATACCTTCGTACAGTATATGGCCTACACTACATGACATATATATATATGTATGTATGTATAAGGTGTGTGTTTCATGGACACACAAAAGACTCTATACATTTATAGCATGTGTTGTATGTACACTGCAGTGCAAATGTAAATAGGTCTAGTAGATTATATCTAAGTCATTATACATGTATAACAACTGTTTTTTATTAACACTGACCTCCGAGGACAAATTTGAAATGATAATGTGGCAGCACAAATCACACATCGGATTGCACAAGATTTTTCAGAAACAGCAGATGTTTACAAAAGACTTCATAGGGAAAAACTTGCTAGCGCTTGGGTCACAGTAACCTTAGGTCAGGTGACTGGAAAGCAGGGGGAGGAAGTCTGCCTCCTGCCTGGGTGCTGGTGGCTTTGCGTTGGATAAGCAGGAAACAATATGAGTCACTTTGAATCAGCCAAGACCAATTTCCTTTCCAGAATTAGGAAAGTGAATTCTGGTCTAGCCAGCCACAAAAGCAGGATGGTGGACAACTCTGCTTGCTTTCGGTGGACCTTAGGGAGGGAATGGAGTCCTTGGGAATCTGTGGGTGCCTCTGCCCTGCACAGGGTGGGCGATTTGCTAGAGGGAAGGTCTTTGAGGAAGTGTGGGAAGCAATCCAAAGGAAACTAAGCCATCCATACCCTCCTGCGCATTCCACAGTCTCCCGGGGAACTAATGCCACTGGCACCCTTTATTGATTATCAGCTGTGGACACACACCTATAGAACATGCATTGATTTATTCAGTTCCCTAACAACCCACCCCGAAGCATCTGGGAATCTGGTGAAGAAATTCTGCAAACAGCATTGGACCTTCCTACCTAACTTAAGACCCACGGTAAGAAGGCCACAGCCCTTCTTTTGATGTATCCTATACTAGTCTAGCCTCAAGTCCTCTCCTCCTTCAGGAGCTCAAAAGGGCAACTTTCGTACAAAAGTAGTCCAGCTCAGGCTGCGAAAACCTGTCTCCCGAGATGTTGGAAGACGCGCGCTCTCCACTCGCTTGGCAGGCGCGGGCGGCCTTCCGGGCAGTCCTCGGGGACCTTGGCCGCCCTGCGTGGCGATTGTGCAAGCGCAGCTTCGGGCTGCTGCAAGGCCGGCTGCAGCCTGCAGGAGGGCAGGGAGGCGCGCTCGCTGCGCACCCGCTGAACCCTGGGCTCGACGAGCCTTTCCTGGGTTATCTCCGGGGTGGAGTCCACCGTGCGCCCGCCAAGCGAGCAGCGCATCGGTCACCCGAGGCCTGGGTGCCCTCACTCACCTTGCTGACTTGCCCTCACTCACCTTGCTGACTCCATCCTCTTCCCATTCCCGCCCCCCGCGTCCCTCCCAGCTTTGCCAGCAGGTCCCCCTCCGCCCTACTCAGCGTGCTCATTGGTCATCCCGGCATGCCCTGTCTCCATAAATACGAGGTCCCTGAGCCTAGGTGCTTGAGGAGGCACAGCGAGGTACATCAGACCCGGCAGCATCCCTTCTACCCTCCTTGACACCCTGTGGCTTCAGACCTTAGGAGTCGCATTTGCAGACCCACAGAGAACCAAACCTCGGCTGCTTTTCTCCAGCCCTTGTGGCTAGCTCAGGGCAGGCACCTGCGCCCCACGCCGCTGAAACTTGCAGCATCGCCGGGCATCTGCCTCTTCGGAGTCCCTCCTGCTCTATACCACTCCACCACACCCGTGGGTTCTGTTTGCCTCTCTTCCCTAAATCGCGAAGACTTCAGAACCCAGCAGCACCTTCGAAACACTTCACCCCTTCCAGTCCCTGCTCCTCCTCGTGTCCCAAGAGTCTCTTGCTACCATGAGCTGCCCCATTGACAAAAGGCGTTCCCTGATCGCCTTCCTGCGCCGGCTGCGCGACCTCGGGCAGCCCCCCAGACCCGTGACATCCAAGGCGTGCGCTTCCCGCACGCCAAAAGAGGTGCCCCTCTGCCCGGTGGTGACAAGTGGTCAGAATCGGGACGCCACCTCCCTGCCTGGACCAACCAACTGGCCACTGCTAGGCAGTCTACTGGAGATTCTTTGGAAAGGTGGCCTGAAGAAACAGCATGACACGCTGGTAAATAATTCGTCACTCCCCTCTTCCCTATTCCTTCCAGTCGGGGTGGTGAGGGGAGCTCAGGTGACCCGGCAGCAGCTCACGGAAGAAGCGCCCGGGGCACCAGAGGATGCGCGCTGATGGCATTAGGCCCGCCCCTCTGCAGGCAGAGTACCACAAGAAATACGGCCAGATTTTCCGGATGAAGCTGGGCTCCTTCGACTCGGTGCACCTGGGCTCGCCGAGCCTGCTGGAAGCGCTATATCGTACGGAGAGCGCTTATCCTCAGAGACTGGAGATCAAACCCTGGAAAGCTTATCGTGACCACCGCAACGAGGGCTACGGGCTGCTGATCCTGTGAGTGCCCTCAGCAGGGTGGAGGCGGTGGGGGGCAGGACATACAGGGCAGTAGGGAAGGGAGTTGGGTAGTTAGAGTTTCCTCGGGTTGGACTTGACTTACGCAGAACGAATACAGAAGCACCTGCTCTACTGAGCGCCAGCGCAATCCTCAAATTGTAGTGTAGAGGTGGGTCCCCCAAAGAGCCGTACAGTGAGGGAATGCACACGTACCTGCCTCCCCACCAGGACATACCTAAAGCTCCAATCCCCTTTTATTTGAGTTTCACCTTCCTGATATCAGTTTGGGCAAGATTTAACCTTAATGTCAAACCAAGTGTTTTAACATTTATTTGGCAGTTTCATAGGTGTATAGAATGTATTTCTGGTCGCTTTCATCCGGTGTCTTCTCTTTGATCCCACTCCCACTCCCGCTGAGACTCTCCCTGGTCCCAACAACTCCCTCCTATTTTCAGCTTGATTCCCTGAGGTTGCTTACATGAGCATAGGTGGGATTATCTAGAACACTGGCAACCGGTTGGAGCCTACACCTCTGTAAAAACCTGACTATCCCTTCCCCAGCAACCACTAACAGCTCTCAGCTTCCCAGGGAGCAGAGGGATGCTGTGAGCCCCTTTCGGTCAGTCCGTGATAGACAGCCGCGAATATTCATGGGATACTAAGATTCCTGAGAATTTCCCAGGCGACCTTCAGGGTTAGTGTACTCCTGGTGCTCCGCAAATGGCTGCGGAGCTTCTTTCCTGGCGCCCTGAACCCAATCCTTCTCCGCAGGGAAGGAAGAGAGTGGCAGAGGATCCGAAGCGCCTTCCAAAAGAAACTGATGAAGCCGATGGAGATCATGAAGCTGGACAATAAGATCAATGAGGTTTGCGCGCTGGGGCCAGCTTTTTCTGGGCTCTCCCGGACAGAGAGCAGCTAATTAGGCTTTGGGTCCCAGCTCTAAAGCACAAAGAGAAAAGAAACGTGCATCATGGGTGATTCAGGCGGTTGCTGTTTCTCTCCATCCTCTTTCCCACCCCTCCCCACCCCCAACTCATCTTCCTTCCTCTACTCCAAAGCCTTCTAACCCCACGGAAGGAACAATTAGAAGCTGATTTTGAGGTTCCGCGGCCTTCCATCAGCTACTGGTGCGAACCGGCCGTGCTATTTAATTCGCCTAAGGTTTTAGAGCCCCTAATCCACACTGTTGCTGTGAGAACTAAGAGATGATGCTTGTAAAAGTCCTAGGCGGCCGCATTTGAGGGGCCTTTGCAGTAGGAATAGGTGCACAGGGAGGCAAAGAATCTGGGGGTGGGAAGGGGCGCAGGGGGAGCACTCCTGTAGACCAATCTTCTGAAAATGTAAAGGAATGGAATGGCATGATGTGTCCAGAGATTTCACATCCCATGCTCATGAATGATTCAGAAAAGATTCTGGACAATGGGCAAGGCTTACCCTTAAGAATGACTATACCACGCTAAAGGACTTTAACATCGGGATTTTAACAACAGCATTTAGCCAACAGGGGGCCATGTGGCAGACTTAAGTGTATAGTGACCTCTTTTTACTCTTGTTCATATTGGAGGTTGTTTTGAGTTGGACCTGGACCCAGATGGGCTCATACAGCATAGGTTTTGCAAGCTTAGGAAATCCTAGAAGCCAGATAATTAATATAACACAGTAATGCAAGCCCCAAGCAGGACGTTTAGCAAGCAGCATAGTTTTCTTTCCTAGAGGGGACAGCTGCTCTGGATCCAGCTAGCTACTGTCATGTGGGGGTTGTACACCCAGTGTCATCTTGTGGTAGTAATAGAGATAATGTTAATAAGACAGGCCATGGGAAAGCCATACATGTATCTGAATTCTCTTCGTTTTTTCTTTTCTTTTCTTTTTTCTTTGAGACAAGTTCTCAAAGAAACTTCTGTTGGCCTGGAGTTTACTATGTAGACCAGGCTTGTTTCAAACTCATAGAGATCCATCTGCTTCTGCCTCTCACTTGGGTTAAAGGTGAACACCATCCTCAGTTTTCTTTCTTTCTTCCTTTTTTCCTTTCTTATTTCCCTTGGCTTTGTTTAAAAACTAACAAATTCAAATTACTTTTAAATTGCATTACATAAGCAAGCTAAACATGCCCATGTGTTACCTGTCGGCCTTACGACCACTCATCCTTGTCTGAGGTATAGCTTGGCAGGTCATCCATTATGCGGACCAGTGACTTAGCATTTCTAAACTGTTTCTCATCTGTGACGTGGCAAATGGGAGCAATGGCCCCTGCCTTAGGAGGTAGCAGTGCAGATCGGCTAAGGTAACACACTCTAACCACGAACACACTCTAACCGCGAATACACTCTAACCACGAACACACTCTAACCACGTGTGGTCCCAGGCACACTTCACAAGTATGAGGCTCGAGTCACCTCAGGCTCTGGTTTGGGAGGTTGGAAGCTAGAGACCTTGTATGGCTGGCTGTCCCAAAGTTGCAGAGCTATGACTACTGAGTGAGCTACGTCCAGAACTTGCAGGAGGACCCCTGGAAGCTCATTGGCCACCCAGGTCAGCCAAATTTCAGAACTCCAATTCAGTGAGAGACCCTGTCTCAAAAATTAGGATGGAGGGCAACCACTACCCTTCACACATGAGAACATTGGCACACACCACCCCCACACAAATGTACATACATACATCTCTCACACATTAATACGTGAACACAAGACAATTTCCAGAAATACCCTTAAGACAAACCTGAAACTTGAATTTCAGTGACTACGGGGAGAGCTTAGGAAAAGGCAAGACCTGGAGAAGTCAGTATGTAATTAGTGCCAACCACCACCGGCAGTAGAGATAGCCTCCCGAGCTTGAACTTTCTCTGTCCCTCCGGTGACATAAAGCTTTGTCTTTCCTGGTTGCTTCCTTTTAAGGTCTTGGCTGATTTTATGGGAAGACTAGACGAGCTGTGTGATGAAGGAGGCCGCATCAAAGACTTGTACAGTGAACTGAACAAGTGGTCGTTTGAAAGTAAGTTGACTTGATGGTCTCGTCCACTTAACTTTGCAAGAGACCTGGGGGATAAAACGCAGCTCTGCTCACACTTCCATAGCGATGGATTGTCAACAACTAGGACAAAGGCACACAAACCCATTGAGTTACGACTTGCACTATGGGTTGTTTATGAAGTCATCCAACAAACATTTATTAAACAAATACTGTGTGCCAGGCACTGTTAGGTGCTGGGGACACAGAGGGGAACAAAATGGACCATACATTTGGCTTCACAAAGCTACAATGCTAGAATGACATTTAAAGGCCTAAGAAGGATCAGAAGCATAGACCTTGGTGAGAGGAGTCCTCTCCACCAAGGAGATGAAGGTCAGGTGAAGAGGAAGGTAGAGAGGCTTCTTTGGATGAGTGTTCCAGACAGTGGAGTCAGGAGTGCCAAGGCCCCAGCCAGGCACAAGTGTGAAGGCTGTGGGGTCCGTTCTAAGCGTGTTAGCTTAAGGCAAAACAAGAGCAGCTGCCCTTCCCCTTGCCTCTGCACAGACAATGGGGAAACAGGAAATAGACTCCCCTTCGGCCTTTTCCTCAAGAAAGCAGAGAGAGTGCTGGGAGGAAACTCGGTGGAAGAAAGTTTGCGTGCAAGCGTGAGGGTCTGAGTTCAAATCTCCAGAACTCACACAAAGTCAGACATAGGAACACAACACTAATCCCAGTGCTCCTGTGGCAAGATGGGAGGTGAGGAGAGGGGACACAGATATTATAGAATTCACATTTTCTCTGTGTAAAAAATTTCAAAGACCAAGAAATCTTCTTTGAAAGTAGGTTGAACCTAAAACATCATTATTAAATGGAGAACAGGACAGAGAAGCACCTGTCCTGTGCTGGCCCAGTGCCTGCCAGGTAGTGGAAACTTAGTCCCTAGCTCCTCCTTTCCCAGCCGCTCTTCTCATGGTGGCTCTCAGCATCCCGTGTTTGGCAGTAGAAGCCAGTGACTAGTTCAACACCATGGCTGAGCTACAGCAGCACAGACATCTGACCCAGGGATTCACCTCTGTCCTCCCCTCCCTGTGACTGATGTCAACAGTGTGTCTCTCACCAGGAGGATGGAAAGCTCATGGGTCATTTCTCCCGGAAATGACATCTGGAGAGAAAAGAGAGTGTCCCTGCCCTCAGCTCTCACTCTGTGAAATTTTGTTTTCACTTTAGAAGAGACCACAATGTCATGAGACACAGAGCTCGGTCTTTAATAGTCAGCTAATCACAGACTCTGGCTACAATTGAATAACAGCAGTGATTATTTTCAATGACAGGTATCTGCCTTGTGTTATACGAGAAGAGATTTGGGCTCCTTCAGAAGGACGCAGAGGAAGAAGCTCTGACCTTCATTACGGCCATCAAGACGGTAAGCAGTCCCTCAGGACAGCTTAACAAAGGTTGTCTCCATGTCTCCCAAGGAGGAGTATACACACTTACAACTTGAATGGTTAATTCATTTACTTTGATATCTATATATACATGTGCACCAATCACAAACATAAAAAAGCCCATTATTTATCAGTTTAGGCCAAGTTATTTTACTACAGAAAATTATTCTGAATGTACTTAAGGTATCTCGATGAATGGTCAGTTGGTTAAAAGATATTTTTTAAAGTTTCTGAGTGTTTCAGACTTTACAGTTTTGAATGGTTTAAGTTATTTGAGATATCATAGACACAGTGTAATTGATTTGGGATTAACTAAGGTTATGTGGCATCAGAAACTAGAGTCAATAGGTAAATTATAGTTTTTCTGTTCTTTCTTCTTCCTTTACAATTAGACCATTAAAAACTGGCACTGGTGGTACCAGCCTGTCATACCAGCTGCGTGGTGGAGGTGCTGAGGCAGGATAATTACAAGTTTTAAGCTGGTTTGGGCTAGAGTGAGTGCAAGGACAAGCTAGACAATTTAAAGATACTTTGTCTCAAAATAAAAAATAAAACAAAATGGATACAGAGTAGCTCTATAGTGGATGCCATTTTAGTAACTACAAGGCCATGAGTTTGATCCCCAATATAACCGTGTGTGTGTTTTGTTTTGCTTTGTTTTGTTTTTGTTTTAGGGTGTGTGTGTGTGTGTGTGTGTGTGTGTGTGTGTGTGTGTGTGTGTGAAGGGTCGTGAGACCAATACTTTTTATTAAATACAAAAAACAAAGCCATCTTTGAGATGACTAAGAGAGCTGGTGGGCCTTTGAATCCCACACTTTGGAGATGCAGGAGTGGTCTGGTTTAGGCTCCTCCCCCTCCAAGAGAACACTGGTGTAGAGAGAAGAATCCAGGGTCCAAGTTCTTCTGTTTCTTCCAGATGATGAACACATTTGGAAAGATGATGGTGACCCCCGTGGAGCTGCACAGAAAACTCAACACCAAAGTGTGGCAGGCGCACACTCTGGCCTGGGACACCATTTTCAGATCAGGTGAAAGGGCTCTCCTTCCCGCTGTCCACTACGACCCAGTTACCCTGACCTATGCCTAGGAGAGGTCTTGTGGGATCTTCCTGACTGAACCTCAAGGTCCTCCCATGGCGTTGCTTCTACTCTCTACAGCTTCCCAAACTCACGAGCATGGGGGGAGGGGCAGAGGGAGGCAGCGCCCTGTCATCCTCTCTGCAAGCTGGAGGTGGCTGAGTTCATGTGCAGTGGCTTAGCCCTATGTGTCACCACCTTTTCATCCTTGATTCCTCCATCTCTGAAATAATGAATGACAGTGCTTCCCACTTTGGTACAACTTTTAGTGTGCCTAGTAGAACATAAACATTGGGTATATATGACATTTTGGTGATTAGGGCTATTTCTGCTCCATGATACAGGGTGTTAGGAGTTGTGTGTATGTTTAATCCTTACACAAACCTCCACAGTCAACCCTTCCAAGGTCCTGAGACACACCTAAGTAACTTTCCCAAGACTCCAGACCAGGCCATGCTTCAGGACTAGGATGCCAACTGCACCACAGGCAGTCACCCTGCCTACCAGCTCCATGGTGATCTTAGTTTGGCATCTGCCTGCATTAATGAATTGAAATGAGGAAGACAGTTGTCTGGATGTGTTTCATAAATGCTTCATGTTTTAAGTGTTACCAGTATTTCCAGGCACTGTACTTGTATATATGTTTAGTAATATCTGGATCCAAGTTTGGAATATGCACATCAGGCCAGTTCTCATCCCCTCTCATGCTGATCCCTTCTGAGCATGGAGCTTTTATTCATCAAAATGTGACTACAGACCAAGAGCACCTGCCCCAAAGCTTGACAGAAATGCAGACTTCAAGGCCATACACAGTGGTACATGACTTCAGTACCAGCACTCTAGGGACAGAGACAGGCATATATCTGAGGACGGCCAGGTCTCCATAGCAAGTTTCAAATGAGCTAGGGCTACATAGTGAGTCCCAGTCTGAAGAAAGAGAAAAAGAAGACAGACAGAGAGATACAGAGAGGGGAGAGAGAGAGA